TGAAATCGAAATCCATTGATGGTTCTGTTCAACATTGTGTATTTGAAAAATAGAATATAAAAGTCGTAGTTAAAGTTAACTATAGTAAGCTTCCTTACGCTCCAACAGTCCAATTAGTGTAATGGTAAAAATTCGACCTAATTTTATTGAACTACTAAAATGTTGTGAAACAAATCATCTTATTGAGATATTGAAGTTATATGACAAATTATAATGAAATATATTATCAAGTAAAAGAATAATAAAGACAATAATATGGCAGAGAAATTAAGTGATTTTATTGACTTAAGAATAATGGAAAATACAGAAAATTACTATGGATCATATAATTTTTATAATCTATTTTCTCACACTTATAAAATTGTATAGAAGAGCTTAGTATTTATAAGGAACGTGTATGAGATGTCCAAACCATCTAGCTAGAGTTGTTGATGAAGTACAATACCAAAAAATTGAGTCCAAAACGAAATATGAGAGAAAAACTGGAAAAACGAAAACAGCGCAGTAGCGTCTAGGGGCTACATGCCAGGTGCCTAAGCACTGCGTCTCGGGCAAATTTATTCCAAAAGTATTCCAAAATGTTTTTCTTCATTCTGAACTCTTCTTCAAGTCCAATATCAATTTACAACTCTCGATGGGCATCCAAAATAGAACTTCAACTTGACATGGGACTCCAATAGTATTCCAAATTTGAATTCTTCATGACGTGCACTTTAATTAGAATTCTTCAATACTTCAAACAAGAAATTCGGATCACACCTAAATTCTAACGAATTCCACCAAGGAATGAACTGGCTTCTGCAATAATAACCAAAAAATTAATTTCTCCAACAAAACACAATACTCCGCCATTAATAAAAGAGTTTGATAGATAAGAGAAAGAAATGAGTATATATGAAGATGAATGTGGAACCGGGTAGAAAACCAACAATATGCTTGACATGAGAATGTTAAACAAGAAAGTAAAATAACTTGATTGATTGCATATATATAATGATAAATTTAGTGAACAAAACGTCAATTTTTTTTTATTTTTTTGGTTGAAATCGAAATCCAATGATGGTTCTGTTCAACATTGTGTATTTGAAAAATAGAATATAAAAGTCGTAGTTAAAGTTAACTATAGTAAGCTTCCATTGATTGTCAGAATTGATGTTTAAAAGACTTGTATTACCATTGATCCGAAAAAGCAAAGGATGAAAGGTGAATGAGTCAAAACTGCGGTAAAAAAATATGAAACAAAATTTCTTATTAAGAAATGAACTAATAAAATCGGTTCCAGTTCTCCTAATTGTTACGTTAATCAGCAAATTTCGAGACTGTTTTAAAAACTTTTCAATTTCCATCTTTTTTATTGTTCGGTTTTTGATGTAATTGGCAAGTTTATGAACAAAATGGATTAAATTTAATTTGTTGTAAAAGTCAAGGAGTAAGTTGCAAATAGTAGAAATTGAGTTATATTAAATCTAGGGTTCAAGAATGGAAATGAAGAAAAACGGCGCAACAATTTCGCTAGACTGTCGCCATGACTTGGCTCGAGCGGCAAAAACAGTAACATTGTCGCTCGCCTGTCGCCCAACTTTCGCCTCGTTATTTCACTTATATTTTACAAATATACGTGTAATGGTTTTTCCAAATAAATACAAGAGAAATTAAAGGTGGAAAAGGTGGTGCCGACTTCATCATTAAGATGAAAATTTTCAATAAAAGTAGTGTTTAGGTAATAATCGTCTTCAGGGATTAATAACTCAAATGGTGAAACTTGGATGCATTGACTAATAACAGTGTTTTAAAACATCCTTAGTCACACTTATTCGTAAAATTTAAAGTTCTTATTTGGTAGAGATTAAAATAAAGTTTTTAACTCATGTCTAGTAGAGATTAAAATCAAAATTTTAGCAAATTTTGATAAAAAAAAATGATGAGATGTATGATTAAAAAATTGTGGATTTCATAAAATATGTTGTTGAAATCAATTGTTAACTTTGATTTAAATTAAAATAGATTTTAATTTCCACCAAACATGGACTTAACAGATTTTGATAGAAGTTGATGAAATATATGATTAAAATAGGTCCAATAAAATATGTGGTTAAAATTAATTGTTAACTTTGATTTAAATTAAAATCTAAGATGGATTTTGATTTTCTACAGTAAATAAATTCACATTTTCAACCACACATTTTTCAATAAAATAGTATTTTCCATCACATCAATAATTTTTTCTTTTTTTTCAACCACACATTTCCCATCATATCACTATTCAAAAATCAATTCTTCCCCCAAAAATTCCTACCAAGCAGGCTCTAAATTTTGGTTTGGGCAAAATTTCACTATCATTAGTCTACATCATTGAAAATTTTCATCTTAATAATGAAGCCGCCACCCTCTTTTCCTGCTTTAATTTTTTCTCATACGCCGTGTTTGGACAAACCTTTACACCTATATTTGTAAAATATAAGAAAGATGTTATTTTCTGATTCGCCTAAATATTTCCCCAGTTTAATTTTTAAGAATAAAAATTTGTTTAATATTTTCTTTTCAAAATCTTGAGTCGTTCACCTTTGATCCTTTGTCTTTTCACTTCAATGGTCACACAATT